CTTCCTTAAAGACTTTACCTGCCTATTAAGGGGCTTGACTTTTCACAAAATAGATAATATTCAAGGCAGACCAGAGCAGTCTGGAGACTTGAAGGTACATTAACTTGAAATATCTGAAATTACTTGGCTTCTGCCTCTGAGGGCTTCTGAGGCCAGGCAAAGGTTAAGCATCAGCTTCTTGTTGCAGAATAATGCACCTGCTCTAGGGCACAGACAGGTTATCACCTGTGAAATCTGTTCCAATCCCTACAAGGAAGCCTGCTGTTTAGAAAGCACTCGTGCCAGAAATGAGCTCTACCATATGGACTAAAACACACTTAAGAGACAATTTTTATCGGCAAGCTAACTAGGACAGACTTTGCATCCTATCCCTCTTTATAGCTTGTACGTTCACTGTCCAAGAACCATTTGTAAGTGAGTGACTGGTCACTGGTGTGTTTCCCTGTCTGGTTTTGTATTACTGCTCTGTTTCTTTCTTTTCATCCACAGATACACACAATCCATGTACACTGAGTCTCAACACCACAATGTCATCTAGAGAGCTGGTGTCATCTTGGATGAGTGTTGAAACCATGAGGGGTCACAGACACCTCCTGAATGATGGGCACAGTGATCTGAAGATGATCCCTCAGCTTCTAGGAAAACAAATACAGGCAACGTGTATCTTAAGTAACCTGTGATAATTTGGTGAGACAGGGTTGCTAATGGGAAGTGGAGAGTGACACAATTCTACTTGAGAAAGGACACAGGGCCAGAAGTCTGAGTTCCTGCTTTGCCAAGCACTAGCTAAAGCACTTGGGAAAGTTTTATTGATCTCTTGTTGCCATTTCATCTATAAGAGAAGTGATATCTGCCTACTGCCTTTCTCCCAGGAATATTAAGTTCAAAAACGAAATGATACGTGCAAAATATCAAGCCTTCTGCAACGACACTTAGATGGTATTATTAGCTGTAAGGTTTTCTAGGCCTGGATTTATCTCTTTCACTTGGACTTCTAGAGGACTGATTGCTGCCATTCTTATGCTCATTTAATATTCACAGATGTGAAATCCAATGCTTTACTCACTTCACAGAAGTATATCAAAGACCCAGCATATGCCATATCCTAAGAGCCAGAATCTTACTAAAGTGAACAAAAGCAAGCTACTGCTTTATAGAACATTTCACATAGCATCCAAATATGTTTTCAGCTTTTCAAGCATTTGCATCATACACTGACCTCTAAGGGATGCTTATCAAATATACCTAAAAATATAATACCTAAAAGTCTATTTTACATAGTAGACCCTTAATTTATCAGTTTAAACTATTGTTATTTATTTGTTTGTTAAATTATTATTTATTGTGACAGGGTCTCACGTAGCCCCGGCTGACTTTAAAATTGCTGTATAGCCAAGAATAACACTGAACTTTTGATTCTCCTGCCTCAGTCTCCCAGGTACTGGAGTTTCAGACATTAACCTAGTGGTTCATGCATGCTAGATCATCACTCTTCCAACTGATTTACACCCCTATACCTGTCATTTTTATTTAAACACATATTATTTTGCTCATCATATATCATATGGTCAACTAAGAATTAATTATTATCAATAAGAATTATCTGAGTAATAAGATAAAGAATGACCCTCCCGATACCTGTTCCATTCTGTCTCTGAAGGACTTTCTGCAGCAAGAGGAAATTCACTTACAGCTCATTACACACACAATAGTCACCCATTTGCATCTGCAATCATGTGGAATGTTTTTTATCACTATAAGAGTGGATAATGTAGCAAAGAAGAGCTAAATAATCAGAGAAACCAGAGGCACCTTTCGCAATTCTGCAAAAGTGGTTTAAAGATCATATGATTGAGGCAGAAGAAAATTGGGATGCCTAGCAGAACCCTGGAGAGCTAGCAGAACTTCCAACACGTGAAATTGAATGCTACTGCCCATCTGAGTACACCTCGCTGAGACAAGGAAATCTGGCCAGGAGAACCAATTGAACAGTTAGCTAGCAGCCTTAGTTCCACCAATACCTCAGCTAAACACATATCACTTGAACCTTTCATGATAAAAATGAGTCTTCTGGGGCACATAATGCATTTCTCTTCCTTAACAGACTGCCTTAGGGGCTATGGAGATGGCTCAGAATTTAAAGCATGTGCTGTGCAACATCAGGACTGGTGTCACTTTCCCCAGAAGCTCATGGGAATGTGGGGTGGTCACTTGTAATTTCAGCCTTGAAAGGCAGAGAAAGGATTGTCCGTGGAAGCTGAGAAGCTTTGTGGTTGACTGAGAGAAACTGCATCAATGAATGAGGTGGAAAGAACAATCAAAGACAATTTGTGATATCAATCCTGGGCATCTACAAGCTCTCACACAAACACACAAGCATGCCCCTACACATATGCATATGCACACATGAAATCATGAGCACTAAACACACACACACACACACACACACACACACACACACACACACGGAACACAGAAGACATTTTTGAAAAGACTAACTTGGCAAAGAGGATGTAAATTGACAGTAAGACAACTTGGATAATAAAACATAAACAAAAATAGCTGATCATTATAAAACTCATTGTAGACAGAAGTTTCTCAAGTCCTGCCCAGCCCCAAGGTCCAGATGAATCTCTCCCACCCGTGGTTCGTAGCCACTTATAAAATAATTACTCAGAGGTTTAATATTAACTACAAACTGTTTGGTCTATGGCTCAGGCTGCTTGATAGCTAGCTTTTATAACTTAACTCAGCCCATTTCTATTAATCTATGTTTTTGCCACATGGCTGTGCTGTTACCGGACTGGTGACAACATGTTGCTCCTTGGGCGGCAGGCTCCACTCTCCCCAACTCTTCCCTTCTTCCTCTGTATTACCATTTGGAAGCTTGGCTCTTACCCTGCCTTACCATACCAAAGCAGCTTTATATATTAACCAATAGGAACAACATGTATTCACTGCCACAGCAACTCATAGAGCTCCCCCTTAACTTACAATGTAGTTATATTCCCATAAACTCATGTTAAGCTGAAAACATCAAAAATAGTACAATATGCAGAGTGCTTAACATAGCAACCAAACACACCTTTGCAACAGCACATTGTAGAATAGCAACTGTTTAACTATGACTATGGGATCTTGTTCTAGATGCAGGTGATAGCTCCATGTTTCTGTCTTGTATCACAAAAGCTTTCTGGCATGTGGAATCATTAGGACAGGAAAAGATCAAAATTCAAAATCTGAGATACATTCTCAAATGAATTCCTATTGCTTTCCTGACATAGTAAAGCTTAAAGATCATCAGATTCATTCATCATATGCTCAAGAGCATCTGTATTTAACATACATTGAATTATATCATTCCTAAAGTGCCTGTACCCAGTACAAGTCTGATAGTAACATACATTGTGAAGAGCAATGTCAAGAAACTGTTAACAAGTAACATTTGTTATAAGTGAATAGTTAAGTTAGGCTGTGTCACTTGTATATTTCTGAATAGCAATTCCTACCAAGCCAATTCCTTTCTTTTCTAATGCTTAAAATATGTACTAATGGACTGAAAGCTGGGAGGCCTGCCTGGTACCAAACTAGGCCCTCTGAATGTGGGTGACAGTTGTGTGGCTTGGGCAGTTGGTGGGGCCTCTAGCAGTGGGACCAGGATTTATCCCTGGTGCATGAACCAGCTTTTTGGAGTCCATTCCCTATGGACTCCTTGCTCAGCCTTGATGAAGTGGGGAGGGGCTTGGTCCTGCCTCAATTTGATATGCCAGGCTTTGTTGACTCAGAGGAGTGGATGGGGGGGTGAGGTAGTGGGGAGGAAGATGGGGTAGCAGAAAGAAGGGAGGGAAGGGAAACTGTGGTTGGTATGTAAAATTAAAAAATTAAATAAAAAAATAAAAAATATGGACTAATATATTGTGAGAAATAATGCAAAGAAAGTTCTTGGTACATGGCAGTAATAATAGCTGCTGCTAAAGAATGTTCACATTCTATACTTTATGCACTTTACACTTAACCATTCCCCAAAATACACAAACACAGACACACACACACACACACACACACACACACACACACACACACACACACATAAACACAGACATGCAATAAAACAACTATATATTCTATAATAATACCCATAAGAGCTAGAATTTTGTCTTGTTGCCTCATGCTAAATCATCTAGCTCCTTAAAAAGTTCCTAGAATAAAATGGGCCCTGCAAAAAAAATCCTTGAGTGAAGGAATGAATAAATGAACAAGCAGAAAGTGTTGAGTTCATTTGAAGGGAAAGAGTATAAGTATACAGACTAGATGCAAGCAACACTGTACTCAACTGCTCCTCCATTTGAGGACAGAAAATTTCCTTTCTAATTTCTCATTCAGTAGAGGATACCTTGTGAGGTTGTCCTGGTGTGTCAATATGGGATACTTTTTGTCTGTTGGTAAAGCTACAATTTCACTCTTTCCTGTTTTAGATTGGTTTGGGTTTTCTCAGCAAACAGGTACATATTATCTCACTCCTTGGGGCATTGCCTTGTTCCTTTGCCACATTCCTGAGCACACTGAACAACAGTCAATCATTGTTTTCAAAGGCTTCAGAGAAAACAAACTTAAGAGGAAAAGTAACACTAAACACCAAAAAGTTACTGTGTTGACAATACCTATTTCATAGGCTTCAAGTTTGAGTAGTATGCTCTTTGTAATGCAATGTCCATTCCATCAGGTGGTTAATAATCAGCTCATTTGGTCTTTGTGCTAATTAAGACATCACATTAATTTGAAGCTCTTTATAAACATTTGGTAATGGTTATATTTTATTTGTTCAACAAGGCTGAAATCTATGGACTAGCCTTTGATAAACTCCATAATCGAGAAAAGAAGAGTTGAAAGGGGGATGTGTTCCGACTCCCAATGAACACTGTAGCACAGCACAGCAACACTTACATCAGGTTGGAGACTGCACCTTAGTAGAAGTCACAATGAGAGAACACTGTAATAAGTGGTACAGGCATTCCGAGCATGGAGCTTACAGGGGGATGGAATTAACTGGAAAGTTTAACAATGGAGGAGGAACCTGAACAGGAGTCTTGAAAGATCTGCAGACTCTCTCCACCCTCCAAGCTCATTTTCTAATCATTATTCACAGTAATGAGTGAGGTGCCTTTGGAGAGCAGAAAGGAATTCTGCCTGCCTGATTGTTCAAAGGCAGCCTTACCCGTGCAGCCCCTGTTCCAGACCCATCAGAATGACAGCGCACACAATACTCCCCGTTGCTGAGATACAGGCACTTTTATTCCCTTCTCCAAATATGGATCAAGGTCCTGCCAAAAGGGTGGGGAATCATGTCATCTAGAGCTCAAGCAGGAAGCTATAATATCCTTAGTGGGAAGTTTCTGCTACAGTTTGTTCAATTATAATCAGTTAATAATAAAAAAGGATTTTAATTAATAGATTTATAGGAAGTAGTAGATGGAAAATTATGCATCAGTGCTGAAAAACTTGCAAGAATCGACTCTTCTGACAACTAAAACAATGTCTAAATGGATCCACAGACCAGAGAAGAGGGAACCCAGGCTTACAAGTACGTGTTGTCATTAGTAGACATTTGAGCGAAAATTTATTATTTCTTTTGCAGAATTTTTTAGAATAGACATCAGATACCCATTTTTATAATAAATTCTATAAAGAGTGGAGCCTATGATCTCATTGAACCACAAGAGGGGTTGCCCTAAGTGATTTTCTTGTTATTATTTGTCATCAACTGCCATTAAGCAAATCAGATCACAGTCAGAAATGCAGTTACTCAGAGGGCAGTGTGGTGCTCAAGGCTGCTGCTAAAAAATGCATGCAGCATTTTTATTATTGACTATTCAAGTTTTAACTATCAGAACAGTAAAGAACCCTGTCTGTATTCTATGTAGTGTGATGCTTTATTAGTTACATGCATCAGCTGGAAAAAAAATACATAAGTTACTAGTGACTAGGAATAAAATAAAGGGATTTTTCACATTGTAAAAAGTACATACAGAGTAATATGTGAAAGGAAAAGAAGTTTGTGGGAAAATATTGTAAGTTGCTAATTTGATTTTCAGTAGGAATCAGGCCAGCTCTGGAATTGTCACCACGTGTAGACCAGAGTCTGAAAAGAATGCTATATATTATATTTAAGCCAACAACATCAAAAATAATAAAGATAAAGGAAATTGTAAGTTCAAACTTAAGCCCAAAGCAGACTCTGTGAGTCTTCAGTACTATTTTGTTGACCCATAACCTTACTGGGTACTGATGATCTTTTTTCTAAAATCTCTAACTCTCATTTGGATGCATTTTGTGACACAGCACTTCTGTCTTACCTTCTCACAGTTTTCTCTACTCTCCTCGATGCCAATTTCAAGGGTGTATAGGCACCATGTCATCTCCTCTAAGGGATCACTGTCACAGTTCAATGGCAGTGTCCTCTGTCAAGTTGATTCACCCTGGGCAATTCTGTAAGTATATTTGTAAACGGAGCACTCTGGCCCCGGAGCATTTAAATAGGTAGGCTTTGTCTTTGTATGTAATACCAGTGCCACTCTTTGTTTTCTTACCCACCTGTGTGGGTCGTTCCATCCCCAAATTTCTTGTCTCTCATTTGCCATATCTCCTCCCTCTTTTGCAAAAGCCTTCGTCCAGAAAAATCAATTTGAAGTCATTCATACCACTACCTGACTTTAATCCAGGAAGTGAATCTCTCAGGATAATCGTCAAAGATGCTCGCTATCACTATGTTGAAAGGATCGGCACAGGAGTTGAATGACAAGTAGTGAAGACCATTTTGTGGAATCTTTTCCAGAAGCCCTTCTTTTTAACCTACTGATTTCTCTTGGAAGGTGTTATGAAGCTGACACAATCTTCCCTGTTCTTTTCTTATCCCCTGAATTGGACTACAGCAGCCTCCATCCTTACTGACTTTGTGGTTATGCGTGTCTATTCAGAGTTGACACCTGCCTGTCAAGCCAGTGGTGAGCTCCTGGGAGGCATATACAGGGCTTGGGAATAAATTTGTTCTGAAGAAAATCATGTTCTTTATTAACGTCAGTCAGTGGTAACATCTGAGTGCCACCTCCACTCTGACTCCACAGAGATCCTTGGGGACATGTTCTTTAAAAGGCTGGCTGTGGCAGACATTTTATTCACCAAGAAAGTAGTAACGAAGGGAGAAAAAGGAGAAAGGAAGAGAGGCATCAAAGATGGAGGAGAAAGGGAAGAATCCTGATAGTCATGGTATGTTTTGGAACTATTTGGATTGTGTGTCTGTATCTAAAGGGAAAAAATTACAATGCAGAACTGCACATGGGAAGCAGACAGGATTCTTATAACCTTGAACTATAAGTCACTTGTGAAGTAATTTCACAACATGGTAATGGATGAGCTGGAAAAGCAAAGTACAGTGATGAAACCCAGAATATCTTCTCAGGAAGGAGTTAGTCTCCTTGTGTCAGTTTTATCTGAACTGTAGCCATCTCAAAGTCAAAACAACTATGAAATTCACTCCAACTCCTTACAGTACTTAATAAAAAATTGAAGCTGTTTTTAAAAATGTGGAACCATCTGAGTCATACAGAACTATCCATTGAATCATACAGTACACCAGTCTCAAAATATGGATATAACAAAATAGTCTTAGCTTACTCTGTTACAGTTCATGTGGGCCCAACCAATTATCAAAGAAATTTTGTTTTAATATATGTACATTAAATGCACAAAGTCATGGATTTCATTATAACGTTTTCACACATAAGTACAATGTATTTTTTTTTACTATATTCATGTCTAACTCCCCTCTTTTGGGCCCCTCCTGCTGGATTTCCTTCCCTCAAATAATCTCACTTCCACTTCCACATCTTTACAAGAATATATATTCTTGCATGTTAGAGAAAACATGTAATATTTGGATTCTCTTTACATGAAAACCTTATGTTCCTACCGTTTTCCTACAAAGGGTATATTTTCACCTATCTTTATATTTGAAGAATATTTCATTTGTATATGCACCATATTTTCATTATTGATCCTCTGTTGATGGGCAACAACCACTAGATACTGGTTGTATAATTTCATTATTATAAGAGGTTCACAATAAAATTGGATGTCTAAATATTACATGTTAATTTTGATTCACACACACATATATATAGTATATAATGTGTAATATTTTATATATATATATATATATATATATATATATATATATATCAACCACTAGAAATAACAAGAGGATCATCAAATAAAATGTGTGAAGAGAAATCTTCATACTCAAGGAGTAGTATTATATTCCAGAAAAGGTCATTTTTTTTCAGAGTATTAATTTGGAAATTACTTTGAAGACACTATGGTCGAAATGGGTTCTCTAAAGTTCCTATGTTGGAAACTCAGTTCCCAGTTCAACAGTATTCAGAGGTGAGGGGGTCTACAAAGAGGTGACTATGTCATGAGAGCTCTGCTATCATTAATCAATGAATGTCCTATGGGGGGGGTAGTTACTGCAAACACATGTACCATCTTGCTCACTCAGCTTCACATACATTCTTTCCTCTTCTACCTTTCTCCATGGGATGGCCTAGCAAGAAGATGCTTGTGAAATGCAGGTACTGTGATTTGGGTATTCCCAGGCTCCAGAACTCTGAGTTAGATAACCTTATGAATTAATTAGTCCCATGTGTTCTGTTATGGAAGCACAGAATAAGCTAATACTGAAGGATTTTTCTATTCTACTCAGTTACAGGTTCAGTAATAAATAGCCAACAGTTATTAATCAGTTGAGTGGAGGGAAAGGGTATTTCTCCCAAGTCGATCATCCAGTATCACAGAAGATATGCACAAATGGAGACCAGGCAGCAATAAAAGAATTTGAGACAGAATGTTTTAAGTGGCCTGAGAGTTTAAAAACCAGATAACATTTCAGTGAAACTCTTCCTATAAAACAAGTCAGGACGGACCCTAAGAGAAGTGTTAAACGTGCCATCTAAGTAGGAATTCAAGAACAATGAGGAACGTTCAAGTTAGGTGTTAAAAAAAAAAGTGAAGTCCCAGAAGAGGGAAAATATCTGTATGAGAAATTAGACCATACGAGATGATACATAAATAAAATGTGGCTCATGGAATTCGATCTAGCCATGAAAAAATAAAATCATGGCATTTAGAAAAATGTACGCAACTGGAAATCATTGCACTAATTGAAATAAGCTCGACTCAGAAAGACAAATATAACATTTCTCCTTACATACAGAACTTAAACGTAACAGCATAAGTGTATGTATATTGTGATGATTAATATTGTCAGCTAGATAGGTCAAAGAGACTAGCCTAAGGGCAAACAGTGAAAGATTATCTTGATTGAGTTAACTGAGACAAGAAGATACACCTTGAAAGTGATTAGCACCATTTCCTGGGCTTGCATTTTGCACTGTGTAAAAGACAAGGCTACATGAGCTTGAGTATCCACCTTTCTCTGTTTCCTGATGCATTGTAACCAGCCTCCTCAACCTCCTAGAACTGGGATTTCCCACCACATGCCCTTGGCCTGCAAAACAAAGTAAACCCCTCTCATCTTAAACTGCTTTCACAAGAAAATTTTATCACAACAAGAAAAGCAACTAATATATAAGTGCAGATGTATGTGTTTATTTTCATGAGTAGATCATGAAATTACAAGAGAGATTTTGAGAAGGGAGGAGGAAATTTTTTGCAAAGGTGGAAATAAGGCAATTGAGTACACATGATAGGAAAACACAAGGGAACCTAAGAAAGGGAGTTAGTTGAAGACAGGTGATAGGGAGGTCAGTGGAGGATGGAAAAAATGAGAACACACTGTAATGGCATGTATGTGGAGACGTCAGACTGCAAACCTGTTACTGTGTATGCAACCTGAAAAGTTAATTTTTAAAAAGTAGAGGTTGATCCTTAGTGGGACATACACAACTAGAGATTTTAGTTGCTGTGAAATCTAAGTTTTTCAAGAAGTGGAGCAAAGAGAGCTAGTGCAGAATGAACACAGAGTCTTTATTACTGGGATGGCTCAGGTATGGGTGCGATGCATATGCAATATGGAAAATACATTAGACACTATGAATACAATGTTGGCATTTTTGTAGTGCTGGTGAAAAATACCAGTAAATAGAAGACCACAAGCAAACAATGTAAACAGGAGATTACAGTCAGTATCCACATCCTCATTGATGATTCTTCTGAAGCTCCTGATACAGGGTTTAGCGTGGGGTTTATACATTTCTGCAATACATTTCTATATTGATCTACATAAGTGCAAATTATCTCTTCCTTTTTTTAAAATTAGTTATTTCATTACTCATATTAAGAAGGCAATGCTTTCACGTGGAAAGTTATATGTGAACACCCAAAATAAACATCCAATTTTGTTTTGACTCTCAAAAGGAAAAAAAAAAGTGATCTGCCACCAAAACAGCAATCAGATGATCTGCTCCTCCAACCACCCATGAAGTACTCTGTAAGACATGGTACACAGTCCCTTTCTTTGAAAGCAGAGAGTGATTTCTAAGAAGCCATGCCATTAGTGTGAACTGAAATTGTCACACAGCAGTCAACAAATATTACCTCATTTCCCTCAAATATTTCATCTCTTCTGAAGCCTGTTAACAGTTGTCATCTGTCATTTGCACTGCTTCCAAGATGGAAGATCAGAGAAGCTACTGAAGCCAGAGGAAGGTCCCTGATGCTACCTCACTGTTCTGGGATGGAACTGGGCAGATGTGGTTGTGATTTTTAAAACAGGGTACAGAGGTTCAGTGAAGTATGGGTGGTCTTTAAAGGTATTTTCTGTGGTAAACATGAACTACAGTAAAGTACTACTTTTATTGAGCTTTCTGTCATACTTCAATCAAAAATTAAATATAGAAATGTAGTCAGTGAAAACCTATGAAGCCATTTCTTCACAGGTAAACTATTAGCAAAGACATAGGAAGACCACTCTTCCATTAACAGTAGAAAATACAGTAGGAATGGGGTAACACTATCAGAATGTCAGCAGTTTAATCATCTCAAACTTTAGTCTTTCCACTAGCCTCCTGTGACCTACCACCACAGGAGCTCAATGAAGAAGCTGCCCTAGAATCTATTCTAACAATCACTGCTCAAATTTTAACAATGAAGTCACAACTTCAGTATGTCTCTAAAACATATTCTGAACTCCTGATGTATTACTATAAAAACATAATTTAGAGAGTGACAATCAAGACTAATAGTACTTATTTCAAAGTGCTAGATTATGAACACTTAGTATATAAATAGACTAAATGATGCAAGAGGTTTTTTAATGCATAGACTCATGTTGAAAGATAATACAAGTAAATTTATTTTTTAATTTAATTAAAATACAATTACACCATCTCTCTACTCCAGTTTCTCCTTCCAACCTCTTCCAATTCCTTCATGGCATCTTTAATTATTATTGCTGTATAGACAAATAGATAGGTAGATATACTCATATATAATATATAACAATTATTGTTGCATGTGTTTGTGAATAGATATATAGTTAAATCTGATGAGCAGCAACTACATTTTAAACTTTTCTGAGTCCCAAAATTATATTTTGTGTAGAACACAATGAGATGTTTAAATATGACATAAGAGGATCTATGTATAATTCAATGAAGGGAGAACATGCATAGAGAGAACCATCATGAGCAGATGAGAAGTGGATCTACTGAGAAAAAACATGGCTCAACAGTTAGGAGTGCTTGCTGCTCTGACAGAAGACCTAAGTTTGATTTCCAGTACCCACATTGGGAAGCTCATGATCAACTGTAACTCTGACTTCAAGGGATCTGACTCTTTCTCGTGCATGTGGACAGGATCATACACAAGTTCAAACACATACATACAAATTTTTAAAATGTATTTTTTGAAAAGAAACTGAATGCGTTAGTGAATACAGGATCAGGGACCCACATAAAGGCTGAAAACTAATGTACCTGATTCTGAGTCAAAGTTTAAGCACTTCTAAGCACCCCATTTTATTTGGAATTACAGCACAAATGGAAAATTTGGCATTCAGGAGCTACACGATCTATGAGGGAGACATAGAAATTCTATTAGACAGGAACTGAAAGATTGACCCGAACCCATTTGATGCTGGGGGTGAAGGCTGGCAGGAATGTGATGACAAGCAGTAAGCAAGAAAACTGCCTTCCTCGAGGCCCACAGCTGAGCAATCTGAGTTACAAATTCCCCACTCTGGCATTCCCATGGCTTACTGGTGTTCTTTGGAAATAGTTAAGATAGCTTTCATTCTCAATTTTTAATCAGTGACTAGAGAAATTGCCATGACAACAAAATCAGTTTTCCATTGTATTGATCTCTTACAGCCATTGATTCTATTAAAGGTGAGGACTTTATCTGACGTGTTAAGAGTACAAACTCATCATTAGTAGAGAGCTATGAGTTGGATGATTTTGTGAATTTAACAGGTATCATATGTCCAAACCTCAGGGATAGTCTGTACACTTCACAAGGATATCAGGAAGCTAGATGCTTACAGGGCCGCAAGACTGATGAAGGTATCTTTTTCC